GTTAAAATTATTAAGTAACAAACATTGAAGACACCCTGACTTTGTAACATGAACCATTAAAATCCGAGGTCAACTTACATTCTTATACAAAAGGCGTGTGACTATATTGAATGTTCAGTTGAGCCCAAAACGCTCGAGTCTAAACTCACAAAGATATTCCAACAAAACCAAATTGCTCAAAAGAAAAACATATTGATTGATTGATTGGTGTTTAACGCCACTTTCAACACTATTGTGCTATTTCGTGGCGGTCAGTTTTTATTGTGAAGGAAGTCGGAGTGCCCGGAGAGAACCACCGACCTTCGGTAGGAAAACTAACAATCCTAGTCAATTAACTCAAAGATTGGAGTCGAGTGCACCTGCCACGTGCGGGATTCGAACTCACAACCTCAAGTGTTGATAGGCTAGTGATATAGTAGTTCGACTACTAAGACCACTCGGCCACTTAGGCCCCCGAACACATATGAAGATGGAGCTAAAGACAACTTTTGACAAGGTTTCTAAGTAAGAACAGGCACATGAATATATTTTGGGCTGGTTAAACTATTTTTCTTTGATTTGAATCCTTTTCCTTTTCTCGTGTAAATCAATTGAATATAAATCAATTGAATAATGAAGGAAACATATTAGATTTATGTTCAAAAATTAGCAAAGGAAAAACGCTGAACTCTCTAATTAAAGTAAATGCGAGCATTCTTTGATACGATAATATGCCATCCCATAATCTAATATAAGTGGATGTACTTAAGAGTATATTTCATACAATAACGTTATTTCATTTTTTTCACGTACCATTACTATACATAATGTTGGTACACGTTACACGTAGCTGCGCTAAATCCCTATATTAACTTCTCATGATTTTTCCCGCGTTGGTTATGATGCTTTACAAAAGAAGATTCCCTATGCTTTCAGCCAATGAAAAAACAGAAAATGTATAGTCATACAATAAAGCTAGTCATTGAAAGTGCTTCAGGTTCGGTTGCATGATCGAGTGCATTTTGGATGTACAAATTGAATAATCTACTCGGTTAAAGGGTGCATCTTAAATAGATATCTATGTACTCTTGTTGATAAAAAGGATTCTAGACAAATTAATTTAATTATTCATTCTTTAGATACACGCTATATTATTAAATATCTGATCTACACGCTAAATTGAAATCAGAAAATATACTCTAGCTTCCTAATGAACCTAAAAGCAGAAAATAATTTCAGTTTATCCGTTTATAAACATGAAATAAAATGTATTTGAAAAACTATTACTTTTATCCATATGACGAGGTGTGTCTCTTTTTTCTCTGAAATTCAATATGATCATACGCCAAGCCCTACTGGAAATAACAGTAAATTGTTAGATATCTGATATTAATTAAATTGTTTTGATAAAGAGCTTACGCGGCACGTGTGTAACAAAAGTAAAGTAAATTTATTCTGTATTGTGATCCATATTTCTGACGTCAAACTGTCATTTAAACAATGGGTAGTTTTACACCAACCTGTTAAAGTGTTTTCCCTTCCAATTAGTCCATTCAGCTCAATAGTTCTTTGAACGACTTGATTACTAGTATTGTATATTATTGAAAAAGCATTGAACCCGGGTTCAGATATATAAATTTACGGAAGCTAAGAACCGTGTCAGTTGATAGAGCTGTCTTTGAGTGCTGTTTTTTTTTAATTTTCGGTTGTATTTATTGAACTTATTTTTTAAATGGAAGTCTTAGACTACATTTTTATAAGTCTGTTCCTGAGACAAAACTGCATGTTAATAGATATAAAAACATTTCAAAAGTCAATTAGTTTAATCAGATGTAATTTTGTCTCGCCTCGGCGAAATCGCCTAGGCGATACGTAGGATGCGAAAAAAATCCGAGCAATGCAAATACTATAGCAGTCAATGACGTAATTTTTGTCCAATGAAAAAGAAAATCAAGTATGAAAAAAATCTAGAAAATGATAACAAAACTATTTACCGGTCGATAGTCTTTGGAACTATTGACTGGCAAGAAGTCTGAAATGATTAAGGAATGATATAGCACACTGAATGTTTCATTCTTTTTATACAGAAAAAAAATACTGAGATATAATTTCAAATTACTATTCCATTTATTGTTAGCTCTGGATGCTTTGGATAGAAATGTATGATGATAGTTTGCTTAAATTTCTATACATGCGAATTTCTAGGGAATCATAAGATTGTTCTTATATCAAACCTGAATTCATACATAGTCATATATTTAACCATAAAAGCGAACAATACTAGAATAAATAGAGTTAATCCAACATTTTAAACAACCGACTTGCATTGGAGAAAAATAGTGCAATTTGAATATAGATTTCCCAGAAGAAACATTAAGTTGATTTGTTTTGTTCACTATGAGTGATATCATATATAAGTAAACTTAACTCTACACGAATTTATCCATCACGTTTTTAGGATTAGTGTTTTAATCTGTAGTTAAATGTTGGAAATCTTACCAATCTGATTCTTGGTATATCTATTATACTTGTCGGCCATTCATTGATTTTATTTGATTTTAGAATAAAGTATTGTTGCTGTTGAAGTGTTTTAATTGAGTTATGTACCTTTGTTGACTGATTCCACTCATTCTGTACCGATTGATTACACCCGTTTGAGCATCGTCGTCATGTCCACTTCCATTTATGATTTTGAGGCCACAAGGTCACTAGGTCAGCATTCTAGGTCTTAGAAATGTTTAAAAGTGGACTTATACTGCTTGAGAAACCTTGAGTGAATAATGTCCCATGTAGAGAAAACCATCTATTTTGATTTTGGAATGTTTATTACGTTTCGTCTCAGGGTTACTCTAGTTACAAATATATTTAAATCGTGGGAACATTTTTAGTTTGGTGACATCATTACGTACGTATGCAATTTCTACAAAAATTTTGGCGAATAGTTCGTTTTGTCCCCTTTTTACAGAAGAATTAATCATTTCGAGAACACAACGTAACTGTAAGGTCAAGGTACATTTTAATAGACAGAACTAATTCTTAAAATTTTACAGCCTCAATCAGGCAAATACTTTTACATATATTCGCCTATAACTATGGTACAGTGTATTTGGCTTGTGATACAACTCATTGTCTTGCAACTAGGACCTCAAATTGACATTTCAGTAAAATTTGTATTTTTTCAAATAAAATTGCCCTTGAAAAAAACCCACTAAGCCTTATGATACTTGGCCTATGGGTAGATCAACTTTATGCATTATACAAACACCTTTACCAATAATCATGGTGTAATAATTGACTTATACATGCATGCATGTGTATATAGATAAGTTAATAATTACTCATAACATCGTTATTAATATCGCTATAATTATTAATTACCTACACAAATAAACAATATCTGTGCATACCTAATATTAGTAAGGTCATTCGACAAAACCATATCATAATAATAATAATGAACATCACTTTGGAATACAGAGGCAACAGAGCAGAGGATGGCAATTTCATTATTATTATTTTCATTTCATTGATTAATTATAATGTATTTAAAAATGTTGATAACCACAAAAGCCGTAACATGGAACAACTTAGAAAATCTCTTTCCTTCTCATTCGAAAACGTGTTCCGCCGTCATTTGCAGGAATGAAATGTTAACCTTTTTGTAACATGTAGTATCAATCAACCTTTGTTTTATAGATTTATAGAATTAAAATATTGTTGGTTATTTACCCGAAAATGTGGCAAAAGAGTTCAAAACATAAATCTGATTAAGAGGATCATTATGGCATCACAATGTATTGCAATGATTCTTAAGCATATACAACGCATTGATGATGATGATTGATGGCTGCTTAACGTCCAGCGGCATATTAATATGCATATTCAGGACGAGAACATGTTAATGTAATATAAATATTAGGAGCCTGTTCTTCAGTGGTTGTCGTTTGTTGGTGTGGTTGATAGGTTTTTCTCGTTTCTGGTTTTGTATATAGATTAGACCGCTGGTTTTTCCCGTTTGAATGAACCCTTTATAGCTCGCTGTTCGGTGTGAGCCAAGGCTCCTTGTTGAAGGCCGTACTTTGACCTATAATTGTTAACTTTATATACATTTTAACTTGGATGGAGAGGTGTCTCATTGGCACTCATACCACATCTTCTTATTTATATTAACTCTGCTTTGTACTAAACCGACACGCTGAGCCGGATCTTAACGTGCTAGTTCACAAGGTAACAGTCCGCAGGAAGACATGTTACCTTACTCGGACACTTTATTCTTACTCTTTAATGCCGCGTGCTTAGCGGAGAAGCAGCAAATACCAAGTCTTTGGTTTGACCCCGCCGGGGTTCGAACCCACGAACTCCGGCACTCGAGGCGAACACGCTACCACGAGAGTAACGCATTGACATATACTTTTTATACTGTACTTTGATAACTGATAAAATCAAAGATATTTAAGCTCTAATAGTAAAAAAAATAAACTATGCTCGCTTGTAATTAAGTTAAACAACCACTTTTATAATGATTTTATTAAAATATGGAATTATTTGGTGTGCAAAACCGACGTTGTGTCGGCCTTAACATGCACCTAAAAGCACATACTGGAAGATGTGCAGAGCTTGTCATTCTAAATAAACTATAACGTATATGCAATATTGCATAATTGCATTTTTCGTTATTGTTAAATTTTCAACGTAATCGTAGTCAGTGCTTTCAATTTGATAATAAACTTTATGATTACATTCTAAATTAATGTATTTATGAAATTCACGATTTTAATTTTACTAATGCGTTTTTTATTGCAGTTTTGTAGTTTTTTAATCTTTTTTTTTATTTAATGGATAGAATCTAATACAATTTATCAAAGTTTGTTGTGTATATCCTCTCATAATTAATTTATCGATGGTACAAATGTACGTTTACAATATAACAATTAAGAGTAAGATTACGTTCCTTATCATCTGCAGTTTTTAATGTTTATAATGTAGACAAATTACACTTATGAAACTTTATATATTTTCAGACAAGTTCACCCAAAGATACTAAATAAATTGCTATAAGAGGAAGAGCGTATACCATTTGGAAATCGTTTATTTTTATATCATAAAAACAAATCAAGGCGTTAATGAGAAGTATCGTCAATATTACGATTCTCATTGAAAACACTTGCTGGCTTGTATTGATTGGTTGATAAAATTATATATGATATTTGAATATGTCTGTAATACCAGTGGCACAAGCCAATGAGAAAGGGCGTATCGATTCAACAGAACATCTGCTCCGAGAGGTTCCTGTTGCATTCGCAGATCCAAACGAACGAAATGTCAAGCTCACTAAAGCAGTACGGATCTCCGATGACAAAAATGAAAATGACATGGAATCACTCAACAACCACAAAATCTCTGATGAATTGAAAATAAGACAGCCTATTATTGATGGAAAGATTAATAGAGCTTATACATCGCCAGATATTGAATTGCAAAGCTATAATATTAATGAAGATGTAAATAGCAATTGTAGTGATAAAGGTGTGATTGAACGGAGTCAGTCACAGAGCATGTCGGCAGTTTCGAACTCACGCCTGCAATCAGATCGACTTTTGCATTCGGATGACGAGGAGAAAACATATACAACAGAAGATGGCGTCAAAATTGAGGACAATAAAACAAAAGAATCAGCTCTTTCAAGCATTGGAGCGGACTACATGCGTGTTAATGGTGCCATCGGATCTTTTCGGCAACTCCAGAAACCTCAATCTATGCAGTCTTTGCCTACATCCTCTAAAATGAGCTACACGAACGAGGATAGCGGAATAGCACCTCTTGTCGTGGGCGGTGAAGGTACTAAGTATGGCATGGATGACAAGCAAAACAAAGAAAAACAAAAACCCAATGTTGGTTATAGACTTGGAAAAAGGAAAACTTTGTATGAAAAAAGACGGAAAATTTCAGATTATTGTCTAGTGTTTGGGATTTCAGGAATTGTCTTAATGATTGTGGAAACGGAATTAACAATGGCAAAGGTTTATGATAAGGTAAGAAAAAAAATGCATGTCATATGTTTTCAATTAATTACACACGTCTAAATATGTTTGCAAGAGCTACGCACATATCATGTGTAGGCATACAACATCATTAACTTTTCACATAGTGTAATTAAGCAGTTCATTTAGTAATAAGACAGCAGCATAAAATGTAAAGAAAGTTTGGTCGTTAGTGTATATCAACTGTGTACAGTAAATTTCCACTTTTCTAGAATCTAATTTCGAGGGCAAAACAAAGCAGGTTTCATTCTTATTAAATCGCACAGATGTTAGTTTGTTGCGTTTAGTTTGCACCCATTATGCAATTAAACAAATACAGCCTGTATTTAATGTGTCCCAAATGTGTTTGGCAATAATCATTTAATTTTGCTATATTTTTTTCATCAATACATAAAATTATATTTGTGGTAGGAGTATTTTGTTTACATCTTTGACATATGGAGGATATTTTTGTCATCTTTCCAACAATCCATTTTAGAAAAATCGATTGTCTTGATGAAGCAAACAATATAAAATGATGTCATAATATAGTTTCAATTTATTAAGCGTTATTCAGTCCCATAATCAGAATAGACGTGTCGCAATTTGTCATTATCAAGGGAGAATGGTGGTCTCCTGGTATTATTAGAGTTTAATGAGATTGATAATCGGGCCAAAAAGGTAAAATTAGAACTTAGATCCCTGAAGCATAACTTTTTAGTAATCACCAGTTTCATCATCAAACCACTTTAATTATTTAAAATGTCAAAACCTTCAAGAAAAGCGTATTAAAATTTACAGAGCGTGGTCTAGTTGCTGTGGATTATTTTCAGATGACATTTCCCTCAAAATAAAAATTTGATTGACTTACGCATTAATGAATTGAAATAGCAAAAGCAATTTTGTCATTATTGATTTTGATAAAGTGCCCAGAAATCTGCAAATGACATGTACAATGTATCAGAGTGAAATTAACATTTCAGAGTGATAGCGATGATATTTCCAAAAGTTCACCGAACACACACACGTCTCGGATTAATGGGTTGAAACTAATAAGCTATTTTTTTTAGCAGATCGAAAACGCGATAAACAAACATAATACTGATCGCGGTACTGTCCTCCTATGTGTACTTTTAATTAGTATAATATTGATATAACAATAAAGAAGGGCAATAATAATAATTCTGACCTCATTATATTGATAAATAAACAATAAAAGTTCGATCTGCTGAAGAATTCAATATTTTCAAGATATGGCTATTGAAGAAAACGTCACTGCTTATTGACAAACTCAAACAAATATGGTGACAAGTCAGCTTTCAACTTATTAGTTGTCAGTTATGTGTGAAAAAAACTGTGAACAGGTGGTAAATTATCTCAATTAAAGAAAATCGCTCACACGTACTTCCATTTTCAAAAATGAAGTTACGTACAGATTGATTAACAAATTATGAGGGTCTGGATTGGGGGATGGGGCTCTTCATATCTGTAGTTTTTTATTTTTAGGTCATTTCTATATTCTTTATTTGTTTGTCCATTATTCTCTACTGTTGATACTTTAGAACGCAATTATTCTCTATTCTTTATTTTTTGACAATTATTCTCTATTAACTATTTTTGCACATAAATCTGTCTTCTGAAAACACCCTTTTCAGACACTCAATAATGCGTCGCACATGACTTTGGATTTTACTGAACTACAATGCTCAACAAATGTCGCTTTAACAAATTTTTTTAATGTATCGTTTCTTTCCAAGTGTTGGTGTTAAAACAGTAAAAGCTTTAAGTGACAGCTCTAAAAGTACTATTTCAGTGGTGTCAAGTTTTGTTACAATTATGACTGTCAGTTGTGATACATACTGTGACAGATTAGTCACGTTAGTCTAGAATATTATCTTTTTCAGATGAAAATCCATGGCAATCATATAATATACAGGAATCCCTTAAAGCAAACACCAAAACTATTCCGGTGTTACTAGCGCCTATCTCACTAATGATATTTTATGACAAACTGGCAATGGCTTTCAGAGATACATGGAAGATTACACAAAAACAATATAACTAATGAATAAGTAATATATTATTTTTTAGGTAGTTTAAGTAATTTTTGAAAATCGCATCGTGACAATGTCTAATTTTACATCTCTAATCACATTTGAATTCCTAAGAGTACAATAAGAAATAGTGAAACCTGATACCATACGTCCACAATACCCAGGGTAAGGAACTTGTTGGCATTTTCATTTAGTATATATTTCTTGTGGTTATGCTTCATATCAAGGTTATAATAATATTTTTTTCAGAGTCCTATTTTGAAGGAAAAACCGTTACAGTAATTATTCGATCTCTTTGTACCAGCATAATTAAAAAAAGTCATATCATTTTTGTTTTGTTTTGTTCGTTGTTATTTGAAGGGGATGGTATCTGGACTGGGCATGCGATCAGAGGGAAGGCATTTTAACGCGCTGGAAAACGTTCACTTTTCAATTTTTGAACATTTGTAGAAAATAAATGTATAGTTTATTATTTATTACTCAATCTTCAGGTGAAATGAAAAAATAATGAATTAGCTTTTCAGGCTGGGGTTCCGATAATTAAGTTTTGTGTGGTTTTAAACATCGGATGTGTGTGTATGATTTTCACGGTAATATTGTTCGAGATAAACAACTTTATATTTTAACTTTTGAAACTATGTAATAAGTTAAACGGTAATTATCATTCATCAATCAGTTTTAAAAAATCTGTCAGTCTTAAACTGCACAGGATTTTCTTATAATGAGATTTGAAAACAATTTTTAACAATGTTTAGATTTAATCAAAACGCGGGCTGCAAAACAGAAATGTATTATACAGTACTCTTGACATCGCGGGAAAAAACATGCGAGGGAGGAAAGTTAATAATATTAACAGACTGATATAAATTGGCAGCGTGCTATTTATAGACTGATAAAATAGAATGCATCTTATCTCTGTTAACCTGTTTGAACAAAGACGTTGTCTTACTCTAATCACAAATTCCGATCAGCGTAGCTTGCATGGAAAAAAAAGACAAAACTGAGTAATCTCAGTGAGTAATGCATTCTGGGTAATTACGTGCACTATGTACAGAGTGTATTTTAATCCACGTCAAGCAGAATTTCTACTTCTTAGTCTTTCTTTTCTATAGAAAGTGTGCTTTCTGAAATATGTGTGAATAATTCTTTTTTAATGATATCTGAGTCAGTTACCATGCATCACCGTCTGTCTGTTTTGTTCCATCTCTAACAGAACTTGAAAACGCCCCTAAACATATGTTTACAATGGCAATTTTCATGACGTTTAATTTGTTATTAGCCCATTAATACGGGTTCGTGGACACCATATTCGTTGTCTACGAATATTGTATGCACGAACCTAATAATGGGCTAAAAACAAATGAAACGTCATGGAATTTTGCCATTGTTAACATAAGTTTTGGGGCATTTTCAAGTGAATTACAATCATGTAAAAAATTCGGATCATCATGATATTTTATGTTAGATAGTAATTTGGTCCAGTTGGAAAAAGTCACAAATTAGTATCTCTGATGTTGTCAAACGGAATTATAGATCCCCTTAACATAAAAATTTCCGTATTATGAGAAAAAAAAATAGATCGTATCTGAATTTACGGGCTTAATAGACAACATTACCAAAAATTGTAATGTGATATCCCGTTTTTGATAAGAATTATACAGATACAACCAAACTTGAAAACCTATGAAAGAACTAATTAAAAATTTAAAGTAATTTATGGTAAAGAAATCCCGGACTTAATGGACTTAATAATTTACCATACTTATCACTTGAATTGAAGCAAATTTCCGTTTACCACACAATACATGAAGTATTCACGAAGGAAAATAACGGTTTACCATTAAAGGTCAAACAGATTATTTGCCTATAATACAATATTTATTTTTTTTATAGTTAATCAGCGTTGGAGGAACATTAAGAGCCCAGACATAATGCATGGCGATTTGAATCACAAGTTACACATTTTCAGCCATTAAAACACTGCGAGTTTCTATTCTGTTCGCGTGATTGGACTGTTCTATTCCCATTTTGTATATAACGTTCAAAGTCCCTATCTTTCAGTAATTGTTTTGAGCTGCACAATTTTTATTCCGTGCGTGATTCGATACTGGGTAATGTGTTATGAGTGTTCAAATAAAATCTTGACAATCTTGAAATCTTGCAATCTTAACTTCACCTGGTTTGCATTTTCATTGAAGGAGTATCCCAAAGCATCTACATTATATTAGATATCAAACACATTTGTAACCTCCTTGCCCAAATTAACAATTGACATTAATCGTACCCAAAATAGTTTTTACACCATAAATGGCACCATGTGTATTATGTAACACAATTGTGTTCCATACGATAATCATCAGGAAGTAACTACATACAGCAAAACCGAGACGATTACATGTAACCTTTAGACACTTAATAACAATCTGTACGAATATTATTGACATATATCCTGCAGCCACTAAATGACCATGTCTACTGTGAAATAACATGTATCCGTCAGGGGTTAATTGCATAGTTTGACAATTAACCACAGACTAGTATTACTCCACAACCAGACTACTACGTAACCGGCCTACAGCTATGGACCGTTTGTATGGACCACTAGACTATATAAGATCTCTCATTTTGGACTTCAGGACACAATTCGATCACACCAGAATTCGTCAGATCTCGGCCAGTGTCTCAGTGAAAAACATTTATTTGAACTTTTAATCGCTCTTTGAATACTTGTAAATTAAGCAATAAATTCTAATTGACAAGTATTAGTTAACTTAATTGACTTCGTTACAAGTCGTAAAATTGATGCCGTTTAGACCAGGATCGACTTGGATTGGCTAAAACAACGCAAAGGAATATAAAACGTAAGAACTAAGTTACTTTCATTTTTTTCTTTATGGACAATCAAGATATTTCTATGTCAGTGCAAAAAGTAGAAATGGCTTTTCAAGGGATGGCACA